ATCTTATATCTAGTTATCATTTCAATGATATAGACATTTATATGTAGTCATTTTTATGTGATATGTGCTTTTGTATCTAGTGATCCTTCTATGATATCTACAAGTACATCTCTATGGGAAAAAGGGACACACCTTGGGAAGACACACAGACATAGAGAGAGAGGGGGGGGGGCATAATAATATATGCTGACAACCCTATTCTGTCTATCCGAATCAAAATGTAATATGCATTGACTAACTTATAAGTGTTCTCTTTTCCCTCATTTTTGGAATGAGGCTCAACAGGTGTCCATACAGCTTTCACAACTCCATAACAACATTGTTCAAAGAGACCTATTGGTAATTGTAGTGATGCACGACCATCCTTGCTTGTTCAGTGTCTCAAGTTTCGAGTTAGATTTTCTTTATATAGTTCTTTCTACACTGCATTAGCTCCTTCTTGGGAGGTAGGGGCTTTAGTACAAATTTTGGACCCCTTATTTTGTTGCATGGCAATGTTAGAGAACAAATAAAAAACTAAACTACTGCTTACTTTGAAACGAATGTGAGGGCAGCATCTTATGCAGCTTGCTCACTTGTTCTTCCTGGTTAAGGTCTCTAAACTCCTGCTGAACTCTTCTAAGCTTGAAAAAAGCGTGAACAAGAAAATAAAATCCATATAGTCAGGTTGTAGCTCCCTTGCTAGCATCAAGAAAATTCATCAAAGTAACAAGCTTGTCCAGATTATTCTGCAGTGGCAAATGCTATGGTTGTAAGAGGATCAAAAGAAAATAAAAAATTTGCAAAGGTGTGCCAGTTAAAAGAACTTGATGATATATTAAGTAATGTTTGAAATAACTTCGACTCTTTGCTCTTTAAACAGTGGCCTTCATCCACAATCTACAATGGCATAAGTAACTAGTAGTCAAAAAATAACAATATATTGACCAAGCTTTTTACTTGATTGATTTTAAAATGGCTACATCTAAAGTACAACATTAGTGAAACATTGAATTTGATGCGATCTTGCTTTGAATGCTTCCATTTTGAGTAATACTTTTTTTTTATTATCCATCTTTAGATAGAAAATTCATATTCTCTATGCTTTGGTATTTCCAGCATATAAGATTGTCAAGAGTTTTTAATGATTAACATATAATGTGTATTTGTGGAGCCCAAGTTGCAAACTCCAGTTCCCAATTATGCAACATCAATAATGGTGCTGCAAAATTTGTGACTTCTTCCTATTTCAAATGATCAAAAGACCATTTAAGGATGTAAAATGTACATACCGATTCCTTGCATGGCAACAAGAGAAGCATGTTATACTTGTGGATGGGATGAGGGGTGTAAATCTGTTGTAACCACACAAGTATGAAACAATTTCTTTTAAAGTCGAAAGTAAATATAAGAAAATCACAGAGTGAATGCCTAGTGGTTGTCTTTTTAGTTTTCCTTGGCTACAATTTTCTCATAATATTCAATTCGAGGTTGAAACTGTGTTCTCCTTTACTTCCCAGGTTGTGAAGAGGAGAACTTGAGAACAAAAGAAAGGTATGTTCTGATAAAACCCTAGAATAGACTCTCACTATAAACTGTGGAATATATCTAACATATTCTACACAACCTCCACACGACCTCCATCCTGACTGCAAGTCTAGCATCCTATTTCTATTTGCTACTTGCTTGATCCACCATAAACATATGCACATGTCATTAATTATGACTATAGTGAGACATTGATGCTTGATTCATGCAAAGTAAACAAATGGAGTAAGTGCTAGGAAGTATTCAAATAAAGACTAAGGCCCAAACTTGGAAACAAATGCTCAAGAAACATGCATACTATGAATCAATGCAAGGAAAAACTTGTCACTTGGCCATTACTTTCACCATTGTTGGGAAGCTGGAAATTAGAATGGAATAGTCCTGGCCACCTTACTTTTATCCTGGACTTGCAAGTGAGGCTTTTGTGTGACCATGTACTTGGTGCGTCATCTCTACTAAGCCAAAACCCACCACGTTTCAAGAACCATGACTGAAATATTCATTAATCTCATCAGATTCATCCACCACCACACACTTAAACCATTATTGCAATGCCATCCCTTAAAGATATAAGGGAAACTTGCATAAATACTAGACATCATCCTAAGTGACAATATAATGCTATATATTAATTATTAACATGGTGGGATTTTGATAGCCATTAGATTGATTTCAATCTAGACTAATATATAAACTAGGGTTTTTTTCTACACATTTATGTATTTCGTGCACTCCAGTTTTTAATATAAAATCTAGGCTGTTAACATTATTTAAATCAAAGCTGACAATCTCCAAATGATATGAGCTGTCCCATAATTAACTAGTGATATAGCAATTGACTAATAAGGTATCAACATCACAAAAGCAAAGAGGGATTTTATATATGGGGTTATTATACACCAAAAATCCCACATCTAGCGTAAATTTTCCATATGCCAAAAACACAAAGTCACTCACATTTACTCTTGCCATGAAACACACAACACTTACTCTTGCCACGTGTGTTGAATGTACTCTTCCAACTTGCGACACTCACCTCCAAGATTGTGGTTTTGGGAACCACAACAGTGAACAGTCTAGAGATAGCTGCAACATTGAACAAACACCTCCCATTGTAGCATATCTTGGGTATTGTACCCATGGAACCACCAACAAGGACACCATCCTCATGACAAAGTTTGAGCAACATCTTGAAATCATGAGTGGGCTCCACTAAACAACAAAAACAAAGAGACTGATAGCAATATTGCAATCAAGAACACCCACGAGGCAGCGCCATCTTGGCTCTGGATCGTTCAAGAAGCCTGCGAGTTCACTTGGTGGTAGATCCAGAAACCTCTGTTGGAACCTGGGGCTAGTTCACCGAACATAATTTTTTTGAACTTTTAATGTGCATCACATTTTACTGAGTACAAGCGGCACTCCATGGATAGGCTTCAAGCCAAACTTCATTGCAGGATTATGGCGGTAGCTCGGTGAAAGCCGGAACAAGAATCGCTGTAGTATCATAGCCAGAATGACTTTGGCTTCGATCATCGCAAACGACTGGCCCACGCAAACCCGCGGCCCAAACGAAAACGGCATGAAAGCATTGGGATGCTTGCACGATCTTGAGATCCCATCTTTGAAGCGATCCGGATTGAATTGGCCTGCATCATCTCCCCAGAGCTCCTTATCCTGATGCAATCCAGCAATTGCAAACGACACAGATACTCCTTTTGGAACGTGTAAATCTTGCAGCCAAGACTCCTCCACACACTCCCTGGTCACCTCGTTTGCTGGTGGATACAGGCGCAGAGTTTCGTAAAGGATCATTCCCAGCTGTCCAAGAATCAAGAAGTTAAGTTTTAGAATTAGGAGATATTGATCGACTTACGAGCTTGAGCCTACTGACACTCTCGCCATCAGGAATCTCATTGCCACATACTTCGTGTACCTCAGCACGGGCGCGTTCTTGCCATTCAGGATAGCCTCCCAGTAGCATCAAAGTCCAGGTTAGTAAGGTGGCTGTGGTCTCATGCCCTGCAATGTAGAATGTCTTGCATTCCTCTATCAGATCCCTGCTTGTGAAATTACTGCTGCTGTCACACTCCTTTAGCATCAATCCGAGTAGGTCATTCCTGTATATATTACTCCTCCCTGACTTCACTGAGTTCCGACGCTCGTCTATGATCCCAGTGATCAGAGAATCCAACTCCTGATGAAGCTTCCACATTCGGAGGTTGACTGGAAGTGGGAGAAACCTGTAAGCAAGTGATTATGATTCAGTTCAGTAGATGATCCAACATACCTGAAGCCTGGAATCCAGGAAAAGCTGATGAGTTTGGGCACTAGCTCTGGGACTTTCTTAGACAATATTTCGTAAACTCTCTGCCCTTTGAGATAGCTAGTTCCAAATGCTGTATGGGAGATAACGTCTCCTGTGATCTGACGCACCTCTCCAGAGATTTCAATCTCGGGATTCTTCCTCCTCGTAGCTTCTCCACTTGATCTAGCATGCGAGACGCGCACCCTGCGATTGTACCGGTCATTTGCTGTGTACAGGAGAATAAAAAACACTTATCAGCCAGACTTCATTGGAAGATAATAGTATGAATATCCACTTTAATACGTTCATGAAAAAATGCCGGTGCTACGAGACGCCGGTGATGACTCCATTCCTCTCCAGTAACAAAAACCAATCCACGACCAAAGAACAAGTTCGCCAACCGCAGCTCGGCCTCCGATTTATCAAACTGAGAAAACTTCTTAGACAAAACCTCCCTTACGATCTCGGGCTCCGAGACCGATATCCTTGGCTCAGTTCCCCACCAGAACACAAATCTCTTCCCTGGACACGAAACTTTGAGATTCATCAGTGATGACATGAACGTACCATATTGCTTCTGCCATTTGAGCAACGCAGGATGTACCCGATGGAAGACGTCGTGGCTGAAACTTTCCATGTCGTGATCCTTGATGGCGCTCCTCATGTTCTGGATTTCAGCTATTTGGCCTACCATGAATCGGGGTGGAGGCCCCTGAATGCCCTCCTTCTTCAGCTGCGCCACGATCGCCCTGGGGTTCCACCAGTAGACCGTCACGAATCGCCATAGCGCTGCAGTGAAGAGGACGATGCAAATGCTCAAGATCCATCTCCCATCCATTTCCTGGACTAAGGTAAAATCTGTGGGAGATGTGCCAGGTGGGCGAGTGCATTTAAGCCAAGCGGATGGAGTGTTGTACAAGTAAGGATCTATCCCTAAGAAGCTACTTGGAACTTCTAGTGTTGCACGGTCTATCAAATTCAAACTAGAGTGTTTATAAATATTAATATGGATATGCTTTATTTTGCCATTGGATTGAAAAAGAATATTTTAAATTATTCTAAATCCAGCATTATGGAATAGATAAGACTGCCACAGTGGATCACATTCTAGTACCAGCCATTGCACAATAGAAACTACCCTTACAAAATCAGTGATCCACTCTGAATTGAAAAGAGATGGAAAATATATATTTTAGATGTACCACCACCATTAACACTGCATTTACCAACAGGAATTGACATCCATCAATGGCTTCTCTCACCCATGGGGTGTCACTCAGGTGGAACGGATCATCGGGGTGGAGTTACACACTGGGCCTCAACAACATGGTGGAGCATAGCAACAAGGTTGAAAGTGTGATGATATCACCAAGAAGACAATCATCCTCCTAGACAGCAACGACAATCACGACTGCCTGCAACACTGCAAAGTCTTTGACAGTGATGAGTAGGAATGGCAGCCACAGGGGAAGAATGCTTTCAATACAACTAAAACCTCTCATAATGCAGGATTCTTTGTCTAAAATAATTAAATAGTGAATTAATGTTTAAACAGATTTGTATCATTCTAGAGAATCATTGGGAAGATGAAAGTGAGCCATTGAAAAACAAAGTAGTTTTTCATGTAACTGCAAGTACTTCTAAGAATGTTCACAAAACAGGTTAAGCTTGGTGTTATACTCTTTAGAGAAGTCCTTGGAAAACTAGAACCATCCAGTTTAGTCCAGTCTCACTTCATATAGTCAAATTAGTGTTTTTTAAAGCACCACCTAAGCACCATTGTTCTCAATAAATGAAAACTTCATGACAAGCTGTGAGGCTTGAGCAATCCTTGAGCAATTATTAGAATTCATTTGCAAGTCCAACAATTCCATTTCCAGCAGTTTAGGCAATCAAAAACCCTTCAGTGCAAAAACCATGGCTTCACTACCGCTCAATTGCAATATTAAGTTATGTTGAAATCAAGTTTTGCAACATATTTTTGCAATGATTTGAAGAACATAAAGCAGCATAATAGTCTGAAAAATTCTTCTTACAAACTGTCTTTATAAGTTGTATTGATATTTATATTCTATTAATTATGTTGTAAGTTGTTCTTATAAATTGTGCTACAGTGCAGTTACATAAAAATTTCAGCAGTATCCTGTTTGTTTATGCTGTAAATTATTTAAAACTAAATATTTAATTAAAATTTAGGTTTATGAGGTCTAAATGTACAGCTATGATGTTGTATATTAATATTAGCATAGTGGGATTTGATAGCTATCGGATTAGTTTCAATCTAGACTATTTGCTCCTATATGTAAGTTAAGGTTTTTAGGTTAATTAATATGTATATTTTGCATTTTATTTCCCACTCATATTGGTAGAGGTGAAGGGTAGTTTTAATTGTCCTTGAGGAATGTTTGGATTTGGGATTTTGGTTTATATCTAATTTGCATTATCTAAATCTCACTTTCCTTCTAGATTTTTCAATTTCTTCTCTTTTACATTTCTTTTTTGTTCATCTTTATGGCAAAGTAGTAGCTTCCTCTTACTTTGACTTTAGAGCAATAGTTAGTGTAGTTTTTTGATACTATATGGTTGCAGTTGAATAATTAGACTCAATTGATAGCAATATTCACAATATATGGTACAATTCCTCCTACTCTTATTGCCAATTCTCGCATCTAGCCAAAAAAATTTCGTGGGAATTTTAAGGATGATATATACCATTGGTTCATTCACTTTACAATGATTGTTACTTATTATTCTTAGGATGATTTTTGGCATTTATGTGAGTTTCACACGTGCCAGGTATAGCATTATATAAGCAACCAAAGAGAACAATTTAAAAAACAATCTATAGAACTATAGAAGTTAAAATATAAAAAGAAAAGACCTATGACACTCATTTTTCCAATTAATTAAGGTTTTTAGGATAGTTAGGGTTAAGTGTCTTTGGGTTTAAATAAAATAATAGGTTAGGTGACCTCCTGAAAAGTCCAAATTCAGGAACTTACATTTGGTATTTGGCTATAGAGATCACATTATATATTGAGATTGACTCTAATTTGTTTTAGTTGGGTTTGATCTAAGGGGTAGGGTGTCAAAAGAGTAGAGTTGGCTGTAACTCTCAACTCTAGTGTGAATTCGTAAAGAAGTGTAATAAATTATAAACAACCAAAGAAAATGATTTAAGAGATAATCTATAATGGTTTAAATATAGAGTGAAAGGGCTCATGAACAAGAATGCACCCCTTTTTTTAATTGGTTAAAAGTTTTGGAATACTTGGGGTTAAGCGTCCTTGGGTTTGAGTAATACTAGATTAGTTCTAAAAACATTAATTTGGCATTCGCTTCTGGAATTTCTTGTTTCGTGTGAATAAGTTTATGTACCTCTCTATCTTTCTTTTGAGAGTATTATTAAAGGGTTCATTTAGCACCAATTTATCTAGTGTTTACTTTCTAAGCTTGTTTTTAGGCTTCTATTATTCTCTTTGTATTAGTTGATATAGGCTCAAGGTTATCTTCTTGCTCAGCTTATTGCCACATATTACTATTTATAATTGCATTATGTAGTAAAGTCAATCTTCATTTTTTATAGCAATGGCTATACACATTTTTGTGTATGGGATGAGGTAGACCTAGCTATACATGTGGGAGATCTTGAGCTTAAACTTTAATTGTTGCAAATGGTGCTCAGTCAAGCTTTTGATCTCATCTTTGGTATGGGTTAGCTATTGCATAATTATGCTAATATGACTTTGAAACTTCTCTCTATTATTTTATATTTACTTTTATTTCTTCCATTCCTCTCATTTCTATTCTCTTTCATCCCTTTGCTTCTCCCTCTTCTTCCATCACTTTTGCCTCTTTATTAATTTTTATTATATTTTTATTTTATTTCTCTATTCCCTCTCCAAATCCCTTTAATAGTTTTTATATTGTAGCAATGGATCAACTCAATAAGGAATATATTGATTTCTTCGACTTTGACTTGTTTTTTAGGGCAAAGATTGTAACATGTCATCCTATTCTAAGTAGGGATGTTTGTTCAATCAAGGTTCATGTTTAACATTAGTTACAAAAGGAGATCAAGATTTTATACATGAACATCAAATAAATATTAAAGAAAGTGTGTTATTTAAATGTCTTAAAGTCTTTAGGAATGTGAATTTCATTTTATGGTGAAGCCTAAGAGGAGTATTTGCTTCTGCCTTGACTATTATCCATTAAATAAGGTGACTATCTTGGATGTATACCCTCTTCCTCACATTGTTGATCTTTTAGATTATCTGAGGAGAAGTTATTGATTCACCAAATTAGATATTACTTCTGGATACTAGTAAGTGCTGATGGCCAAAGAAGATGTTCCCAAGATTGCTTTTCGTACATTATTTAATTTGTACGAGTTCTTGGTAATGTCATTTGGTTTGAACAAAGCTCTAATAACTTTTTAGCAGATGATGGATGAAGTTTTTTATTATATGCCGAAAGTGACTACTAACTTTATTAATGATGTTTTAATTCACTTGAAAGGGATATGGGAGGAGCATGTTTATGATGTTCATAAAGTGTTGGATCGGTTGTAGGAAGTTAGTTTAATATGTGTGTTTGGGTCTAAGAATATAACTTATCTTGAGTATTGTATTTCTCGTAAAGGTTTGCAAGTTGATTTTGACAAACTTGTGGCCATTTTAAAGTTTTTTACTCTAAAGTGTGTGAATGATATGCAATATTTCTTAGGTAAAATACAATATTTCTATAATTTTATTGATTATCTTTATGCTTGTATTATATCATTGCGAGCATTATTAAAGTTGTCAACATCATCTTTCATTTGGTCTATGAACTGTGAGTGAGCATTTATGAGCTATTGATAACTCCTCTAGTTTTAAAGTATCCTAACTACATTCAATTTTTCAATTTGCATGTGGATGGTATTGATATCAATCTTGGAAGTGTGTTGATACAAACGAGTCTGAGTGTGCCTAATCAATGCCATCTTATTGCATACATCAACTATACATTAAAACCAATAAAGTGAACTACTCCATAATAGAGGAGTGTAGAAAAAATTTGGGATTTTGAGAAGCTTTATACATATTTGCATGGTTCTCAAATATTACTAGAAGGTGATCATATTATAGTTACTTTGTTATTAAAGAGAAGAACTTGGTTGATCATATTGCTCAGTGGACTTTGAAACTTCAGATATATAATTTTAAGGTTGTTTATCACCTGAGGAATTTTACAGCTGATGTTAATACCCTTTCTCAAACTCTTTTACCTTTTTTACTTTCTTCTTTTGTTCTTGACAAGTTTATTATTTTAACATTAGTGGATTTTCTAGATGAGGATTTTGTGTCATCAACAATTGCTATACATAATGTTCAATATCCACAAGGTGTGGAGAAAAAATTACTTTCTCTTAACAAGATTCGTGAGGCTCAAAAAGTTGAGCTATGGATCCAAAAGTTTCGTGAGGGGTTTGAGATTTTTGTATCACTTGTTGATGATTCACCATTTTAACATTTATATTCTGAATATCGCATTAAGAATAACCACCTTTATTTTATTGGGATTGATCTTAATCATCATTTACGGCTAGTGGCACCTTCAATATTTATTCCACACTTTCTCCATATTTATTGTGACTCTCTTATTCTAAGTAGGTATATAAGACAGTAATAGGTGACTAAGAAGCTATATAAGTCTTTCTATTGGCTAAAGATGTAACGTGATGTTATCTAATATATATGTAGTTGTGTTTAGTACCAAACTTGTAATACTCCCCCTCATACTATAGAAAGACAGTTGAAGTCAATTACAATTCCCCTTCCATTTGAGTTTATG